TCTTACTCCTTACTTTCATAACATATACCCCAGTTGGGTTTTAATCTCTTCTGCCAAATGTGGGACTTGGGTGAAATATAAATTTATTTCAGATGTATTGATTTTTTTGGACAATTTAGTAATTATCTCTAAATATCATCTGTAGAGCTGAGTGATATCCTGGTAGAATTCCTGGTTTCTATATAGAAGACCTAAGTCTGATTCCTGGTCAGTTTAACTCAAGCACAGCTATAATCTGTCTGTTAATGGAATCTTGCATATTGCTATGATGCTGAAAAGATTTCAGTGAAGATACCAGATTATAATAAGCTTTAAAATAAAAAATTCATATTAAGAAAGTCCTGGCAATCTACTTCAACAAACAGCCAATGAAATTCCTTTCAAGCAGTCTCATCCATCACCTACCTGTCAGGAGGATTGGCCAAGGACCAGAGAGTATTTTATTCTATGAGTCAGGGTGGGGTAACACAAAAGCAACTGACATCAACAAGACACTATATAAGTCACTATTATAAATATGAGAGTCCTGTTGTCATAGCGGTTACACTTTGGTCTACTAATGACAGGGTGCACTCCTTTAAGAGAAAGAGTTGGCTTTCTGCTCCCATAAAGATTTATAGCCTCAGAAAGCCACAGGGTCACTCTTATTCTTTCTGTAAGCTTACTAGGAGTCAGAGTTGACTCACTGAGTATTTTAAGATACAGGATAATTTAAGGTTTGTGTCTGAAGCTGTTATGCAGCTGGATTTGGCTCCTGTGCATCAATTCATGCAATAAGTGCCTTTAAAAGCAAGCAGCTGATCTATCATTAGGGAATCAAAAGCAAAATTATTGATAGGTATCCACAAAACTTGTTCTAAATATTCATAGTATGTATGATATAGCCTTAGAGAAGAATAACTATAATTGCCACATTCTAAGAGCAAACAAACATAAAACATGCATTGATCGATGCAATTACTCAATAAACATTTAAAGAGGCCCTTAAATGTAAGCATAGTAGTAATATCTGATAGTTCTGGTTATTAGGTCTGTTCAGACCCATAATGACCTTCTGCACAACAGAAAGAAATACTTGCCGGGCCTGTGCCAGTCGCACAATTGTTCTTGTATCTGTGCCTATTGTTACAACCACTGTGGCAATCAATCTCATGGAGGCCCTTCCTTTTTTCTTTGTTCTTCTGCTTTACCAAGCATGATTTCCTTCTCCAGGGACTAGTCTCTACTGACAATATGCCCAAAGTCTGTAAGACTAAATCTTTCCATCCTTCCTTCTGAGAATTCTAGCTCTACTTCCTCCAAGACTGGTTTATTTGTCCTGTTGACAGTCCATGATACTTTCAGTGTTCTTTGCCAGTACCATAATTCAAATGAATTGACTCTTCTTTGGTCTTTCTAATTCAACTTCCAACTTTCACATGCACATGAGTCCACTGAGAAAACCACGTGTGGCTTGGGTCAAGTGGACCTTATCCTCACAGTAACATTCTCTCTTTTCAACATGCTAAAGAGATCTTGAGCATTAGATTAACCTAATGTCTTTAGAACTCTTTACTACTGCTTCCATGAGCATTGATTATAGATCAAACAAGAGAAAATCCTTGATAATTTGAAACATTTCTCCATTTATCATGATGTTATCTATTGATCCAATTGGGTTTTCCTTATATTGAGTTCTAATCCATACTGAAGGTTACAATCCTTAGTCTTCAGTGTTTCAATTGCTCTTCACTTTCAGCAAACAAGGTGTGTCATCTGCATATGGCAAGTTATTAACTCATCTTCCTCCATTCCTGAGAGCACATTCTTCTTCATATAAGCCAGAGTTTATGATGATTTGCTCAGTATACAAATTGACTAAATATGGATGAGGATAAAACCCTGCTGCTCACCTTTTCTGATTTAAAACCATATAGTATACCCTTGTTCCATTAGCACTGCTGCCTCTTTATCCATGTACAAGTCCATATGAGTACATGGCAGTGCTTGAACTCCCTATTTTTCTCAAGGTTATCCAGATTGTGTTATGTTCCATAGGGTTGAATACCTTGCTATAGTCAATGAAACACAAGTAAACATCTTTCTTGTATTCTCTGCTTTGAGCCAAGATCTATCTGACGTCCGCAATGATATCACTTATTCCACTTCCTCTTCTGAATCCAGCTTGAACCCTGTAAATATACTGTCGCAACCATTATTTGTTGGATGATCCACAGTATAATTTTACTAGAATGTAATATCGAGGACTTGTTCTAGAATTTGAGCCTTCTCAAATTCTATTGGGCCACTTTCTTTGGATTGGGTGCAAATATGTATCTCTTCTAGTTACTTGACCAAGTAGCTGTCATCCAAATTCCCTAGCATAAATGAATGAGTGCTTCCAGTGCTCCATCAGCTTGTTGAAACATTTCAATTTGCATTCTAGCCACTCTGGAAGCTTTGTTGTGGGCTAATGTTTTCATTGCAGCCTGAACTTCTCCCTTCAGCACCATTTTTTTGGTCATATGCTAACTCCTGAAATAGAAAAATGTTGACTAATTGTTTTTGGTAAAATGATTCTATGTATTTTTTTCTATATTCTTTTGTTGCTTGCTGCATTATTCAATATTTTCCCATATAACCTTTCAATATTGTAACTTGAGTCTTGAAATTTTTTTTCTTGAGTTCCCTCAATTAAGATAAGCTGAGCATATTTTTCCTCTTTTTTTATTTCTCATTGTAGGGCTGTGCACATTTCAGTTTAATATTTTACTTTGTCTTTTTGAGGTTCCTTTGAAATTTGGTGTTTAGCTCTTTGACTTCATTTTTTTCCTTCATTAGCCTGAGCTGCTCTATGATTAGGATCAAGTTTCAGAGTCTCTTCTGACATCCACTTTCATCTTTTCTTTCTTTCTTGTCATTTTAATGACCATTTGCTTTCTTCATAAATGATGTCTGTGATGTTCTCTGATAACATGTCTTGTGTCATTAGTGTTCAGTGAATCAAATCCATTCTTGAGATGTTCTTGAAATTCAGGTAAAATAAGCTCAAGATCATATTTTGGCTATAATAGATTTGTTTTATTTTTTTTTTCAGCTTTTAACTGAATTTACATACAAGCAATTGATGGTCTGTTCCACAGTCAGCCTCCGGCATGCTTTTAGTTGCTAATATTGGGCTTCTTCATTGTCTCTTCCCACATATGTAGTCTATTTGATTTCTGTGTTTTCCAACTGGAGAAGTCTGTATGTACATAGTTTTGTGTTGTTAGAAAGGTATTTGATGTAAACAAATCATTGGTCTTGGAAAAAATTATTTTATTTGATTGAGGTAGTTAGGTTGTTGCACCAACCTAGCCGATAAACACATGTGGGATTAATTGAAGGGCGGAGAGATAAATGGCTTGGCGAGCCTAGCCTTTCTGGTCTCTTGCTCTTTGATCATTGGACCAGTGTGTGGCTACACTACCTGTGGGACACCTAACCCGTGGACTGTGTTGCTGCAATTTGAGGTTCCTTCAAGACTTGCTTGCCACACCATTGGAATTTACATCTCTTGAGCTGGGGACTGTCGGACCCTGTCATCTGGCTGACCACTGGTGACCTGCCTTATTGTTTGCTGCCTGTGCCCAGATAGCCTGAATTGCTCTACAGAGGACTACCCGGTGGCCCTCAAGACTACTTGAAGGACTGCCAGTGTCTCACAGTTGTCTCATGGGAGTGAGTTGCACTGAGCCATTTTTACTGCTTTATAATTTAATTAATTGTTTGTTTCTTATGTTATATATCTATCTATCTGTGTAAATATATATAAAATTATTAGCATTCTGGTTTTGTTTCTCTAGAAAACCCTGTTTAACACTGATTTCTCTAGAAAACACTGTCTAACTCCAGATTCATTTTTATCACCAACATCATATTTTCCAACTATTGTTCATTTCTCTTTGTTTCACATTTTGCATTCTAATATCAATGCATCCTGATTGCATGCTTTGTCAATTTCAGGATCAAGACATTGGTAGAATTCTTCAGTTTCTTCTTCACTCTCTTTGGTGGTTGATATATAAATTTGAATAATAATACATTGATCGAACTTCCTTGAATGGAAGTAGATATAATCCTACTACAGATTGAATTGTACTTCAAAATAATCTTGAAATATCCTTTTTGACTATGCATGCAATGTCATTTCTCTTGACTGGGTCAATCCCAGAATAAGTAACCATATGAATGTTTGATTCACAACAACCAATACATGTCCATTTCAGCTCACTAATGCCTAGAAGTTCCATTTCATTTTTGATAACTTCCAGTTTTCCTAGATTCATACTTTCTATGTTCTGAATGTTTGTACATTCTATGTTCTGAATATTTTCAGAGCTTTGGTGGTTTCTTCTCATCTTGAGTTGTGCCCCATCAGCTAAGAAGCCTTCGAAGGCTCCACTCCCACAGGCTTTACTCCATTCACATCTCCATGGTTAGCTCTATATTTAGAAAGCAGGGTCTCCTCGATCACATGTCAAGTGCGTTCTGACCCAATGGGCCCATGTGCTCCATGTTATGGCACTATCTCCCACAACGTTCTGCTCCAACTCATTAGGCCTTCAGCATCTGACAATGTTTCAAAGCTACGCATATAAGGTTTTTAGCTGTTGCTTCCCCTGAAGTGGGCAGCCAAGTCTTTCTTCATAGTGTGTTCTTAGCTTGGAAGCTCCGCTGAAACCTGTTATCATTGCGTGAGGTTTAATATATGGTATGCTGGAAGTCACTGAGAGTTGTTCCATGCAAAAGAACAGAAGGCTTTTGTGCGGTTTTTTGTTTTTGTTTCCACACTACCACCCACCCATCACAACATCACAACCTAGTCATATGTATGTGTAGCAAGGAAGTTCCTATTAGACTTTGATTTGGAAGCCTTTTTCTGTCTACTCTACAGCCCTAAGTTTGCTCTTTCAGACTTCTTTTTTCCCCAAACTCAAAGAACATTAAATGGAATGTGATTTTCTTTCCGGCCTGGTCCCGGCGCTATGGCTTCCGCGAAAAAGGGCGGTAAGAAGAAGGGCCGTTCGGCCATCAATGAGGTGGTGACCAGAGAGTACAACATTCACAAGCGCATCCATGGCGTGGGCTTCAAGAAGCGGGCCCCTTGGGCGTTCAAGGAGATCCGAAAGTTTGCCATGAAGGAGACGGGGTCACTAATCGACATGAGGCTCAACAAAGCTGTGTGGGCCAAAGGAATCAGGAATGTTCCATGCCGTAACCGTGTGTGGTTGTCCAGGAAACTTAATGAGGATAAAGATTCCCCAAACAAGCTCTACACATTGGTTACCTACGTGCCTGTCACCACTTTCAAAATCCTACAGACAGTCAACGTGGATGAAAACTAGTGGATGGTTATCTAATAAAGGTTTTAAACTGCCAAAAAAAAAAAAAAGGAACATGATTTCATTTCCTTCAAGATTCCAAAATTGCTACTTTGAGATGGTATATATTGAAGAACACAGAATTCTTCAGGGAAAGATTAGAGAAATGGAAACACTACTGGATTCTACAATCCATTGCAATACCCACCCCAAACCCATCGACAATACTTAATACAATTATTGTGGTTTCTTAGGATTCTGTCCTTTTATCCCAAGCACTTATTTGTAGCTAGGCTAGCATGCACATCTTTCTCGGGTCCTTGGACTGAAAGTCCAGGGGTTTCTTTAATTCTGTCCCATTTTAGCAAGTTTTTAAAAGCCCCTTTATGCTAATTAGCACTCCACTCTGCAAAGCAGCTTCCTGACTGAAGAAGCTCAGTTTTGCTTGCTGTGCGGACTGAGAAGTTCACCATGGTTTCATCATCCCTACTGCCTGAGCCTATGGATCTTGGACATGCCCCACTACTGACCCTTTTTGCTATGTATTACTGAGATTCTTATTCCTGATTCTGAGATTACTCATTTTCTATCTAGTGGGATGATACAACTCTAGACAATTCCCTCATGTTAGCTGCAGACATCCTATTTGCAAGCTCCAATCCAATCATATGATGGGAGTTACAAAGATTATAGATAGAAGAGCCATACCAGTTAATTTCACTTCCCCACTGGAGTATAACTTTATGGAGCAGACACGTTGCCAGAGGAGTAATAGAGAATTACTTTGTGTGATTTATTGAATGGCATATGGGAATCTGTCAGAGATATAAGGACAAAGTCAGTTGGGGTGGGGGGGGACAGGTTTTAAACAGTCTTTCACAATGAGCTAAGTAATAACTAAATTCAGTATGAAGTCAGGAAATATTTTTATAAAACAAGAAAGTGGTGTTTACTTGTGTTGGAATTTAATACTTACCAGTAATGCAAAAGTTAATTTAATACGAAGAGAAGTCAAGGGACTTACTAAAAGATTAGCTCCATATCCCTTAGGAGAAATAGTCAGTAGATAATATTGATGCTTATATTCAAGAAGATATAAATTCTAAATACTTTTCTCAATTAGATTTGAAGCTTAAAGAATTTGAAGATGGCTCTGAGGTTTCTCATTTATATGTGTAACCGTAGACATGTTTGTATATTTATATTAGTAAGAATATTTTAAAACTCCCTATCATTAAGTCAATTCCTATTCATACTGGCCCTATAGGACAGAGGAGAACTGATCCTTTGGGTTTCTGAGACTTTCAATCTTTACGGGATTACATAGCATCATCTTTCTCCCTTGGTGGGATAGGAGTGGGGCGCTGGGGTATGAAATGCTTACCTTGAAGTTAGCAACTGAATATGTAACCCATATATTAATAAAGATTAAAATAAAGGGGACATTTGAGGAAAATGCACTAAGATTATATTTGTACATATTATTCTTAAAATATTTGGTGGAATCACTAGTGGAGATATGTGGCTAATAGATGAAATATGGAAAGGCAAACTAATAGATTCTGTTTATTACATATGTGATCATGGCAGCAAAAGGGAACACACTTCACAAGATGGATTGGCATAGTCACTCCACCGATGGGCTCAGATATAACAGGAGTTGTGATATGACTCAGGTCAGAGTAACTTCACATGGCAGAGAACAATTGCCCTACTTGGTTTCCTCTGCTATGATCTTCATGGAAGCTGATCTCCAGTCTTTCTCCCAAAAAGCTGCAATTTGTTGGCTTTGAACCACTAACTTTCAAATTAGCAGGCAAGCACTGAAATATTGCACCATCATAGTGCCTCCATGATTATCAATGGAACTGTTAGCTACTCACTACTACTTTCTATGTCCAAATTGACTTGAAATAACAACTGTTGTTACCACTTTCACTGTTGCTATACATAAATACAGGGTTTGTGACTCATTTTATCAATCTCGTTTGTTGGTAGCCCCTGGGTTGAATAGTAACTATACTGATTTATGAAAGACATTCCCTCTCCAGAACTCCATATGAAATCTCTATTGAAACTGCATCGCATATTATCCTCTTCCCCTGCTGCAAAAGACCAATGTTCTTATTCTCAGAGTATTTTCCCCTAAAATACTTCCTAATAAACTTGTTGCATACAACTTTCCATCTCAGAATTCATTTCACTGAAACGCAATATATTTTAAAAACATAAAAACTTTCTGAGAAAAGAAATTAACACTTATCCCCATATTCAAATTACAGCAATTTCTTAAGTCATGTACTGATAGTAGATTAGGTATATACAATATGGACATTTTTTCAGAATGCAAAAAATGAAGCTGATTTTAGTCTTATCTTTTGATATTTAAGATTTCCAGATTTTAAGAATTTTTAGTAGTGACATAAAGAAAGCAACATTGTGGTTAGGAGTTAGGGGGAATATTCTATACATCTCTAATATTTGATGTGATACAAGTTTGATGACTTGTCCTTGGAGTGAAATAAATCATGCACCCAAATTAAGATTAATCCAGCCTGGATTGGGGATTAAAATGATAATCTGTGCTATTTTGATAAGGCTGAGGTAAAGTCAGGGCCATATCAAGAAGAGGCTACTTTATTAATTTTTTCTTTATTATTTCATCATTTACTAAAGAAGTATGTATCTAAAATCTTTTAAATGTTCAACACCAATCTTGATGCAGTAACAGAACAAATAACTGTCAAGAAAAGACATTACCCTTGTCTTGACATATCGGGGAAGACTTATAATGAATCACTTTTAATATTGGCTGCAAAGATTTGTAACAAAAAATAGAACGTACCAAAACAAAGGTAGTGTTGATACAGATAAAACAAACACAAGATGGATAGATTCTGGTCTCAGAACAGGACTAGAATGGTGTATACAGTGGCCTAAAAGTACTTAAACACATCTGAAGAATGGAATTGGAGAAGGGAGGAATGTGAGACAAGGAGTTAGAGGAAATCAAATAGTGAAATGCCTTTTCAATGGGTCTTGTAAAAGTTTTGGCTTTATTCTGAAGTCTATAAAGAGAATAGGATGCCTTTAAATAAGAGGATGATATGATCAGATTTGGCTTTCAGGAAGATCAGTGTGAAACTACTTAAGAGCTTGGCAAAAGGGTGCAATCTGAGCAGCTGCTGTTGCTGACAAATTAATCATGGGTGTCTGAACTTAGGATGCCAATAGGTAAAGAACATCTAGAAACACTTGGCATGAAAACATAGAACACCATAAAATTTGGGGGGGTAGTCACCATAATTTCTAAAGTGTACCAATGATATAATTTGTGGCATAATTAAATATGACTTCTCAGATCATTAAACTCTTCTTTGACATGATTTTCTGGTAACAGTTATGCCTAGGGCAGGAACCATAAATTAGTAAGCAATGAAACTTACTCTCATTTCCATCAGTATTTTTAAAAATATTTTTCTCAAAGACTCCCCCCCCAAAAAAAAAGGATGACCTTGGGTAATATTGTTAACACAATATAGTGCACATATTATTTTTAATATTTATAAAATGCTATTTTCTTTAAGTATTTAAGGATAACACTACATGCAGGCCAAAACCTTCCATAAATCTCAGAAAGAAATATATATACCATATACACTTGAGTATAAGCTGACCCAAATATCAGCCAGGGCACCTAAGTTTACCACAAAACTGTATAAAAACTGTGCTGAAAAACTCAGCTTATACATGAGTATATGATTAGAAATGTATGTGTTGAAAGGAAATTGGTATATTAGCCTTTATTAAATCCATGTTACCCTTGATATCACAAAAAGTACAGGTTCTGTGTCAGAAATCATCAGAATTGTTGTGTTACTGACTACTGAATGTTATGCAATGCCAGTCTCTGTATTTTGCTAAGACCTGGTTGTATGATGTTTAAGGTTGATTGTCATCTAATGTGAGTCTTAATTCTCAAAGGTATGGCAGTTATGAGATTTGATATAATGTAGTCATGTACATAATGAGATGCACTATGAGCAGCCAATCAATTAGGAAGGAGAGTTTCCCTGGGGAGATGGTCTAGTAAACACACACAAGAATGTTAAGGTATATTATAGCAAAAATCTCTTGTGTTATACTTGATCTCAATCTTGTATTTGGCTCATCATCATGACCTTCAGATCTTTGAACTAGTTCCAGCATCCTGCCATATTACCTACCAATCCTGGGAGTCATTAGCCTTAGTATACCATGAGTCAGCATCCTGTTATGTAACTTTCAATTATTTGATTTAAGAGAAATGACCAGCTTGATATTTGATGCACTGATTTGGAACAAGCCAGAATTTACAGCAGTGTAATTTCCTTGAGATAAATCTCTCTATACTCTCATATATGCATATATGTTTCATTGGTCTTACTTATCTACAGAACCTAACCTAAAACAGGTAGCAATGCCAAATATCTATTTTTCCACCATCTACAATTCATGCTTTTAATAATAAGTCTTTTAAGATTCGATCTAAAAATGCCACATCTGCAAACATAATCATGGGCAATAGAATCCAACAACATATCAAAATAATAATACATCATGACCACACGAGATTTATAGCAGCGATGGTTCAACATTTTTAAAGGGGGAACCGATTACAGGGATCTACATATAATCCCCTCCTTTGGGGATGGACAACAGGGAAGTGGGTGAAGGGAGACATTGGACAGTGTAAGATATTACAAAATAATAATTTATAAATTATCAAGGGTTTATGAGGGAGTGGGTTGTGGGGAGATAGGGGTAAAAATGAAGAGCTGATGCCAGGGGCTTAAGTGAAGAGCAAATGTTTTGAGCATGATGAGGGTAACGAATGTACAAATGTGCTTTACACAATTGATGTATATGTATGGATTATTATGAGTTGTATGAGACCCTAATAAAATGATAAAAAAGTTCAAAGACTAAAAAGGAATTCATGTAATCCACTACATTAAAAAGCAAAAGGATAAGAAACATATGAT